CCGGCCCCAGGCTAGGAGATGGATCACGATAGAATGGATGTTTTTTGCCAGTTTCCATGTGTTGTGTAGTATGCGGGCTTGTTCGTAGTTGTCGTGTATTTGCTGGTGAGTAATGCGTGTGGCCTGGGCGAAAAAGCCCGGGTTGGCGTCAAAGTGGAGGGCGCTGGGCAGGAGACGGCCCTGTTGGAGGATGGCGGTGATGTTGCCGTGGGGGCCTGCGCGGCCAGCGTTGATGTGTACTGTTTCTGGAATAGTGGAGGTGGCACGGGTGGCAGGCGGTGGTAGCGGGCGAGTAGCCTTGTCGACCAGACTGGGAATGTTGATACAGTGGTAGGAGAAGGTGTCATAGGTGTTGGTGGCGTCATTCCACTTCACATGGGTGAGTTGTCGGAAGTCTGCCAAATCAGCATGGGTGTAGCCGCTGTCAGCGAGTAATCTGGCGACGTATGCATGTCGTGGTTTGTTCTCTGCTGCCAACTGTGCAGCATGAAAGTCGAGCCACCATTCGATCTGTTCTTGGTGTGATAGCTGGTGGAAATGTGGTGGAGGTGCTTTCCAAGGTGGATGGGGGCGTCGTAGTGCTGGGATGTTGGGAAAGTCTGCCTGGGACGTGTTGGTAATTTGGTGGTGAGGTGTGGACTGTTGATTGGGCCGCAGGGTGATGGGTGCATGGGAGCGGCTGCGGGAGCGGCTGTCAGAGGTTGTGGAATGTGAGGTTGAAGGGGAATGGCGACGCCGGTGGCGCGCTGACGAAGCTTTAGCGGTGGAGGTTGGAGTCGAATGGTGATGTCTGGTGCGCCGGTCGCGTGTGCGGCGACTGCGGTGGCGATGACGACGTCTGCTGCGGCCTCTGCTGCGGTGGGTTCGGTGAGTGGCTGCAAGAGAAGCAGGTGGTGAATGGGCAGTGCCCGAACGAGCCGATGGGGCATCTGGAATGTGTGTGTGGGATCGCTTGTGAGACCCCGAAGTTGGCGCTGAGGATGCTTCCGGTGGGGGTGGTGGTGGAGGCGGTAGTGGTGGAACTGTTGCTGGTGGTGTGGCGAGGTTGGTGGTTGGTGATGTGGAAGGAAGTGTAGCGGCCGTAGCAGTGGTGGCTGGTTGAGAGGTGCTCTGATGGGGACTCGCTGATGGTGGTACGCTCGGATCACCAGGAGCTGGTGGCGCAGATGCCACAGTGGAAGGTGTTGGATCTGAAGGAACAGTAGTGGTTGAGGCTGATGCTTGATGTGAGGGCGGTGAAGGGTGAGCTACTGGTGGGAAAAGGGAGTAAGGTTGCCAAATGCCTTGAGATTGGTCCCAGTGAATGGGAGTCGGCTGGGCCGGTGGTGGTGGTGCCTGCGGAGCTGGTGGCGCGGATGACACCGGTGATGAAGTTTGCAAAGATAGTGGATGGTGTAGAGGTTGTGCTGGCATTGGCTCAAGTGCCTGCATCTGAGGTGGTACTGGGTAAGCGTGTGTGTGGGTCACGAAAGTTGGTGCCGGTGGAGGATGTGTTGGCATGTGGCGTGGCCACGTAGGAGCCGGCGGTTGCGGTGAAGTGGCCTGAAACTGAGGTAAGATCGCTTGTGGTTGCTGATGAGGCAAAACGGTAGGTAAAGGTGCGGTTGGTGGAGGATGGTGCCATGGTGGAGGCTGAGTGCTGACGATAGGTATTGTGGGTGAGGCACAAGGTGATGGCCATTGTGGATACGGCCAAGGATACTGCATGTGGAGAACAATGGAGAGGCCAATCCGATAGGCTGCAGAAAATGGCGCCGGCGCGGCACAGCAGCGGAAGTGAGAAATTGGGAATACTAGTGAAATCTGGAGCCTGAGTGCATGTGCAGTGAAGAAAAGTAAGGTGAAGTCGTGGCGTGCAATGCAATTCCTAGGATCTGTGGTGTGGAGCATGCGGAAGCTGATCAAATGGCTGCGGATTAAAAATTAAAAGTTGAAAGAGGTAACACCGCACAAACCGATATCGTGGTCTTGCAACACGGAGAGAATTCAGAGTTTTTGGTGGGAAATCCATCGTTTATAGCCCGGCGGCTCGAAAATCAGTTAATTCAGGGATAAAGTTGGAAGATCGGTGATTTCCGGCGTGATTTCAGCGCCTCCTTTCGGAGGGTCACACCCAGTACCCACGTGGGAAGACTGAGCGGTCCACACTTTGACATTGGTTTTCAGTTAGACTCAATTGCCACGTTGGGAAGGAAGGTGAGGGAACGGCAAGGCGAAAGGGTCCGGTGACTTGTATTGTTTAACAAATGTTTCACTCGCGCGGCTGGCTGCAATTCACAGTTGGCTGAACACTGCGGTGGGAAACGTGTTTGTGGGGAAGGTATCATGTGAAACCACCATGACTCAAAAAGCGGATAAGGAGGGTAACAGCTTGTGAAGCACTCTGCAGGTACATGGTTGAGCGTCCTCAACCACTTCCCTTCCAGTGACCCAGCTTCGTTGGATCAGGTTAGTCACTGGAAGCCTGATCCCCCTGCTTCTGTGGAAAAAAGTGGAACGTGCCTCTGTTACAGTGGAAAGGTGAGAACGTGGAAAACCCTTAGAACCAGGGTGTGACACACACACAGAGAGTTTCGATGTTTCGTTTTGAGCCTCGACAAGCTGCCTCACCACCTCCAGATGGCCTCGCTGAGCTGCCAAGCTCAAGGCAGTGGCGCCTACAGCATCCTCGCCAGGCGAGCAGCGGCCAGACACGGAAACAAACGAAAAACGGGCACCTGTGCTTTGGAGAAAACGAAAAGAAGCTTTGGCAATCAAGAGGCTCACGGGTATGAAGACGGCCAGAAAGTCTGAGATGCTGCAACATGGCTCTGAAAAATATCGTTGGCTCCTGGGCATTGATTGATGATGGCAGCAAAATATCAAGGATTGCCTGACAGCTTCCAAAGGCACGCTCTCTTTCTACGTCCTTCCCATCATTCGTTTAATCTGGATGCTTTGTGTGCCACAAAACCTCCGTTGCCAGTACCGCTCTCAGAATCGCTTCAAAACAGAATGCGCCACGCACTAGGCAGGCACAAACACAGGAAACCTGCTGGCGTTTGCAATAGTATTGTTTTCTCAAGCTCCACAGGCCGGGAACGACCAAGTGGTGATTCAAATGTGTAAGCGTAGGTTGTCTTGTTCAAGGCGATGTCTACCCAGGACATATGTGTAGTTTTCTGCCTAATTTTGCTTTTGCGGGTGAAAGGTTTCCAGTGTTCTTCAGGATGAACTTAAACCTCTCTTTGTGGTTAATCTGTTTGCGCTCAACCAATACATAGACATCTTGTGTAGAACAGGAGAGGACCCAACGATTGCCTTTGTCATGACTGTCATCACCACAGCTTTGATTGCAGATAGATGTTGGATCAATTGGTCGCTCCACAGTATCGTGAAAGGCTGTTTTAGTTTTTGCACGACCAAACCAGTGTTCCTTTGTTGTGAAACTTAGCAAAGCAAACTGCGCGAGAGCAGGTGCCTCGACATGAGTGACTAATGGATGCAAGAGAAAGATGGAAGTGGTGGAAGGGTCAAGTTGAAAGAGTCAGTGGATCAATGAGATTGGCCCCCCCATCAGCCCCACACCAAACAGAAGGAATTTCAATCCACCTGTCTACCTGAGTCACCTTCTAAAGCAACCCCATTCGGCTGTGGGTCAAAACCTGGATGTCTTGGCTGGCCTGAAAGGTCAAGCTACATGGTGGACCGGGTCTCAGGTTTTGACCCATCCCCATTTCTTTCCAAAAGCACCTCATGTCCATGCTGCGCGGCCCAGTGCAAACCTCGCCGCTGCCCAGCATCTGGCCGGTCTACAGCCTACAGCAATGCGCCGGTATGCTCTAGTGGCCGAGTCCAATCCCCGGGCGGGCCACAGTCAGGGCATGAGCTAGGCAGTAGGGTGCGGACCGTTCAAAACTCAACATATGTATGTACGTACGTTGGTGTATATATATATATATATATGCATATATTAATACATATGGAAGCATATATATATATGCATATTGTATTCTTTCCTATTTACCCACAATGTGCGGATTTGCTTCTGCAAGTTGTGACGTTTCGAGACAAATCTAGCAATTGGCATGCTTATGACTTATTTGCGCTTGTGACTGTGCCGTCTGGCCCGCTACCGTTGACGTCGTTCCAATGGCCTTGTATAGCAGCAGGCCTGAGAAACACTTGGGAGATGACCCCCGGAGATGCCACCAAACTTAGCAATCCATCTAGCAAGTAAAGCATGGATGCAAAGGTCAGCTCGACTTCAAAATGGCAGCACCGATCCTGGAGATTGCTGATCCGGCCAAGAGTCACCACGCAGAAACCAACGGGGGAAGTCAGAGTCATCAAAATTGACCAGTGCATCAAAGTTGACCATGATCTGCTTGAATCAACACTATTCACTCGCTATTCATCAATTCCGCTAGATTGAGCTGTGTCTTTGTCATAGCTTTGCGCCGAGTTGCTCTGCACTACCTCCAAATGGCCACGATAGCCTGAGCAGTCTTTTGCAAACCAGGTCGCCCAGCGTCAAAGGACATATTCGTGCGACATCGTGCGACTAGCTTCAGTCTTGCCACATCCCCGACCTTCCCTATGTGCTCATGGGGCTCTGAGCGCAGGACAGGCGTGGGATAGGGCCTTGCTCGCAAAAACGTTTGGATGACGTGATTCTGCTGGAATCCAGTTTCATCAACACAGGATCGATGAAATGTCAAATCCCGGTCATCGATGTGCAAGCAGAGCCCCTCTGTCCCAGTGACCAAACGGTTGCCAGTCCACTGCCAAAGGACTCAGCATGAAGCACTGCACAGTCCACTTTTCCACGGTGAAACGCCAACGGAGCGGCCCCATGTTTGCTGGCCCAATTTGCAGCATGCGCTACGGTTGATGAACTTGCGACCCCGACGAATTTGTGAATCTAAGAAAGGAGGCTCCCATGACCTGCAGATTTGGTCCATCAACCCCTCAAGTGTTGCAACAAGAACCTCCTCCACTTGAAGTCACATTAGAATTGCCTTTTCCATGCCCATTGCAGTATAGCGATCTGCGGAGAAGGATGAGACCAAACGCAAAAATCAACCACGCATTCATATGCCGTGGCCCTTCCAGCACGAAGAAGATTCCTTCGGCGTTTTCACGAAATGTGGCTCTTCAGGAAACGGTCTGGCCAGGCTATGAACTCTTCTTTGTGCCAGTGAAGGTGCTGAAAGCTCCTGCGTCAGAAAATTGAAGACAAGAATCTGGAGAGGTTGTGGGAAAAAAAACGCCTAATGATCTCTGTGATTTAGTGACTGTTTGTATCCTAGCATTGCATTCCATCAAATGGTGTTTGATACATCATCGACACATGCGCCGTACCAAAACCATGCAAAACGCTGCTCCCGAACCGGAAAACGAGTGACACACATCGCGCTCTTCCACCATTGAGCCCACTGTCCTTCCACAACCTTAGCCTCAGATAAACTCATTTTGGCCGTTCCGTTGAAGCCCAAGAGTTAAGCAAAGGGCACCAGGTCCGAAGACAGGGCAACTCCGTAAGTACAACTCAAGCCCTCTAGAAATGCTAGATGTCGTGCATTTCCAGGGCCAGGTTCCCACCCAGAAAATTGCAGCTTGCCGGTTGAAACCGGAAACGGCATGTAACGCACGAAGCCAGGTTCAAGGCCAAGAGGCTCCCCAGAAAAGGTTCATGACCTGAGGGTTTCCCAAGCACAGAGTTGCTGCAACGATAAATCCAAGGAACATCTCGCCAAAAAGGAAACGTGACAATGGAGTTTGAGAAGAAAAGAGGGGTACTAGTAGAGACTAGCACCTTCAACAAATCATGTCAAGCCACGTGTGGCAAAACCAAGGATCGACAACAGAGCGAGGCCAACCGATGAATCCCACCTTCAGCCTGTCGCGCCAACCCTCGTCCGTGGACCCGATTCGAAACACAAATTCTCACAACTGTCCTCTGCAAACAATGGAGGATCAGCGAAGATGATTTTGAGCATCTAGGTTTGGATCGGCCCCCAAATGATCAAAACAGAGCACGGTGCTGCGACATGAGACTACCAGTAAGTCTTGCACGTTCTTATGTTATTAATACGGATCATTGCATGTGTGTGTGTCACACCCTCTACCCAAGGGTACTTGTGGTACAGTTTCAGCAGGGGGCTGGAGTGTGCCTCAGATGTCTCCAGCCAACGAAGACGCATCTGTTGCACTGTGATATAGTTCTGGGACGTCAGAACTACGTACCTGCCTTCTCACTCCGGTGGTTTAAACAATACTGTTTTCTGACCCATTCACCTTTCGGTTGAGCATATGGCCCAGGTTTCAGTGCTCTAAGCCGGTAATGTAGTCACTAGAGTGGAACTTCACAACCGATTTCGCTCTTGCAAGAAGTGCCGTCCCACCGCGGTGCACTGTGCGAACCCGTTTAGCACAGGCCCTCAAGGGAGATCATTCTAACAGATTTTTTGTTCCTGCGTGACTCCTCCCGGCTTTTCTGCATTTGCTCAAGATTGCTGATCATATGCCGCAGAGCTTACTGTTTCTGACCTCAGAATGACACGCCATGTGGGTTACTGCGTTTAGGAGTTCCAATTTTTGATTCAATTGAGTAATTCATGCATCGGTCTTGCTTTCTCTTCTTCACGACCCGGGCGAAACCCCCCCCTCTGCTTTCGTTCTCTCCTCTCCTGCTTTCCGTTTCTCTTTCTAGGCCTTTCTCCCTTCTAGAGGCTTTAGGTTGGTAATCAATTTTTTTAGTCAAGTGCCTGCCACGCGCGTTCCGATCTTAGGAATTGGTTTCCTTCTTTTTGTTTTGTGCTTCAGAGGCTTAGTTGTAAAGCAGACTTTTTTACTTTGCGTGCGCCCATACCAACTCGGTGTGCGTGTGTGTCTGTGTGTGTGCGCGCAAAGCCCGTGGGGCCACAGGGAGCCCTCTGTTTTTTTCAGCAGGGGGCACGGAGATTGACTTCCTATCCGTGCCAACGAAGCTACAGAAATCAGTTGGAAGAGAGTTGGGACGCCAACTCTTGCACCTGCACTTCGATCTCGTTGCGATTTCCAACGGGGGTTTGTCTATGTTCCCCCTGCTCGGGAACAGAGGTGTCCACAGCGGACGGAGTAGGCTTATGCCATAGCTTCGCCAAGACGTGATGAACTCTTGCAACTGAGTAGGTGTCCACAGCGGACCCAAGCTGCCCGCCTTTTTGGCATGGCACAAGGTGACCAGAGCGGTCAAAGCTTTTCAAGGTCCATTGGGACCTGCTGGAGCCTTAAATGCACGCACAGCACGTACATTTCAAACCAGGCTAGGTCTACCTAGGTTGCTTTAATGAGGTTTGGTTTCATCGGCTTCCGGCGCACACTTTCCTTCCTTACTTCATTTCATGTCTTTCCCCTGGCTTCATGTCCCGTCATCTCACTCCGCTCTTTCTTTTGCGTGCACAGTGGTCCGGCCCTTAGCATGCACGCGCACATCTACTTTTAACCCAGGTTGGAGGTCGCCCAGGTCTTGACAATGAGGTGGGGTTCACTGTTTCTGGTCATTTGGTTTCCGCTTTATCGCAGCCACATGCACCTTCGTCCTGCCGTGTCCCCTTTTCATGGCTTCATCTTCTTGTCCTTTTTGCGCGCGCACACGCAAATCAGTGAATCCTTTAGTTTTTGGGCCCCCCCCTCGCCACGCCGGGGGGGCGTGTGTATAAAACCCTTGGGGCTACAGGGAATCCGTTGATTTTTTCAACAGGGGGCACGGAGACTGATTTCCTATCCTTGCCAACGAAGCTACGCTTTAGATGGCCAGGCTTTGAGGTCGGCAGACTTTGCACGTTACGTCGATCGCTTTTCGTGTCCTCGAGCTTTGGAACTTGGAGGCGTTCACGATTTGATCATATTGTGTGTTGAGGGTGATCAGACCGCCTTTACACACACTTATCCTGTCCCTTAGGTTTCCTACTTAGGCTGGCGTGTGGCAAACCGCGAATCGTATCAGCACGCAATATCTCGAGTGTGTGTGTGTATTGGTGTCACACCCTGTATCCAAGGGTAATTGTGCAGTTTCAGCAGGGGGCTGGAGTGTGCTTCAGATGTCTCCAGCCAACGAAGACGCATCTGTTGCACTGTGATATAGTTCTGGGACGTCAGAACTACGTACCTGCCTTCTCACTCCGGTGATTTAAACAATATTGTTTTCTGACCCATTCGCCTTTCGGTTGTTAATATGGCCATTGACAGGTCCAGGTTTCAGCGCTCTAAACCGGTAATGTAATCTCTAGAGTGGAACTTCACAATCAATTTCGCTCTTGCGAGCATGTATCTAAGTGTGTTTGATTGTGTCATTGTGTATATCATTGTGTCCTGGAACATGCTCGACTGCTACCGGCACAGGTGCAAACTCTGCTTTCCCCCATTGTCAGTGGCTGCTTCGCTGCGAATCCTCTGCGCCTCCAAGACTGTTGCAGACCACGGTGGTACCCAATACATGGCGATCACTTGCGGAACTGCTCCAAGCAGCCTGACGGGGCAACAGAGCTCTCTCCACTCTTCAGTTTGGAGTTCTTGCCCCGATGTCATCACAGGGACTGAGCCCCTAGTATCAAGATGATAGACCCTGGCTCTTGCAAAAATGTTCCAATCCAAGGGTAAGAACGTGAACCATGACACAATTGAAACAAACAGGGAACCTGTGAAAATACATAAACGTTTGACCAACATGGCACAGGACTGTGCGATAGTAATGTAAAAGCAGTTGGACAATGCCACCTTGTGTGCCTTCCCCATGGTCCCCACGTCCTTTTTGGGCCCCATGCTTTGTGAGGACCAATACATTGCATCTTAGTATCATCTTCACTGGAGCATCCTGGTATCTACCAACTTATATATTGCATCTATTCTATATACATGTGTGTACAGTGGGTGATGGTAAATGGGGGGCAAAACCAAAAACAGTATATTTAATCGCGACTCACAATCGTTGGGGACGGAATGCCTGCAATCCAAAAGCACGCATGACAAACAGGATCCCTGCCTCAATGCGATAAATAGGCAAGTAAATAGGAGGCCAGTCACCACATACAAGCTGCTCCTGGAGAACAAACAGTTTGGCACGATAGTCAAATCATCTTAAACCAGACTCCTCTCTCGCGCAACTTGACTGCAAATGGACTCGAAGCCCCGTGACTAGGACTAGGAGCACCTAGACGTGGTTCAGCATACCATCCATCCATTTTGCTGCCAAGCTGCTTCTTATAGCCAGCTGCATTGATGAGCCAAAGAAGCGTCAGCAAGAGACTAGTGCTTTCGTAGGACAGCATAATGATCACCTCAGTGACGGAACCAAACACAGAACACACCGGGGTTGAGCCCAATCTTAAAATTGTCTTCAAAGACATGTCAAATCAAACAGCCAAAATGTTGGATGTTTGCTGAATGCGCTAGTGTCAGTAAAGTAAACCGTGTCGTAGTTGAGGTAAAAAGCATCTGAACTAGCTTGATATATTATGAACTGAGAGCTGTTAGATTCTTGTGCCCTTTGGTCATGAGCTCCTCTTCACAGGATCCCTAAGGTCGATCCTTACATGGTCTGCCCTGTGTTGCTCCATCCTTGAAATGCATATCAAGGGGCGCACGTGGTGCGCGGCTCAATGGTTCAACTGTTTGTGCACCCAATATGTTTCTACAGGTGAAAGAAAGTCATTGTCACAAGAAAGGCTCTTGCAACAGTTGGAAGGTGCTTTCATTTTGCCCAGCCACATATCGTGCCACCCAGTCGAAGTAGATCGCTGCTGGCCACACGAGCATCGAAGCAATCTGAGCGGTCTACCAAAGCGACTGGCCCAGAGCTCACCACTTTTTGGCGACACGAATGCCAGCGAGGCGGGGAAAAACGGTGTCAGAAAGGGAGCTACTCCATAAAACAAGCCGTGTCAACTTGAACGAGGTATCAGACGGTCTCTAGGTCTCTGGGTCGTCTCAAGTGCAAAGTCTCTCAGAGTAACTGACAACGAGCACAGCTGTGACAACGAGTTGCATGATGAACTAGCATCAAGTAGAACTCCAGCTTCGAGCCCTTGGTCAAATCCCACCTGAGCGACCAAGGAGAGGAGAGGTTCACAAAAGGCTCCTGCATTGGAGGCTGTCTTTGGGTTTGGCATGGTTGGTTAAAATGGACGAAGGGGTTGGGCATCCCAGTTTACCTCAAAGAGATCAGGTAGCCTTCTGGAAGGAGATAGTAACACGCTATTTCGTACCCATCTGATTTTGCCTGTCAATTAAGCTGCACTTGATCGCTCAGACTCTGCTTGGAAGGATCCGCAGCGTGCCTTCAGACACTTATGACAAAGCAATCTAAGCGAGCCCCTAAGCCACATGTCAACTGTCTCACCAGCCCTGACTGAATCCTTTGCCAAGATTGCTGGAACACGCGGCATACCACTTACGGCTCGACCACGGGATGGTTGGTCGGTCGCACAAACACTGCGTTTCTTCTGTGCAGTATCAGAAGCGTACAGCATCTTAGTCTTCCTGTACAGCTCAGATGGTGAAAACGCACCGACTGCCCAGCTCCATTGGGCTGGGACTGCCCAGCTCTCCTCGCAGTTTGTGGAGGTCGATGAAGCGATGCCTAAGCGCCGTTTTTGAGACGGAGCTGGGACACTGTACCTGACTTCGAGTGAATCTAATGTACATCACGTGAATTTGGACACCAAGCGGCCCCCCACTAACAGTGAATTCTGCTCACATTAAGTGAGAGCTTTACACCGACTGATCGGCCTGGTGAAATGACAAATGGCTCTGGTGGCTTTGAAATTGCTACCTCTCTGAAACCATGAAACTGAGAAAAACTAAAAGCAAAACACCTGTGTCTTAATTTTGCTTGAGACAGTGTATTTTATCACAATCACGCAGCCATGTCTGACTGTAGCAATCCCTGGTCAAAAGGGGAGGTGATCATCGTTCTCAGACAGACTCATATCGTCACATCATTCCCCACTCAAAGACTAAGTTCATAAGCTTCTTCACTTCCACCTTGTCAATCGGTTTGCCTCGACTGTAAGCCTCTCGGAAGCCGGACTGAGCGTCCGAAATGCACCAGCAACCATGTGCTGCGGCCTGCTGTTCATACTTCGTGAGCCACTCTTTCACATTGGTTGTCTTAATGCCACCAGTAAAGCCCACTGGCTGTCCTAATTTGTCTGGATAGTCTAAAGGGATCTCCGGGACTTTGTCTGGCTCTTTCCCTTCACCACCACTGTTGTCGAAGAACGCTGACAAGTTCGAGAGTGGCTTGCCATCCACGACCGACTTCTTGAGGATCTCCAACACAAAAGGCCACGAGTGTGTGTCGCCCCTCCTGTGTTCCAACTCACAGGTGAAGTCTTGAACATGTTCGCAGACAATACAATCTGGTCTGTAAACACAGAAGATCCAAAGAAAAGCTGGCAAAAGGCTGTGCCCCTCGAAAAAGTAATGAACTGGAATCGGTATTTGCAAACACTAGACTAGCCTCCAATTTAGGCAGCTACAAAGCAAGATGAACCATGTAGATCTGGCTATTTATATATAGACCTTAAGTGCACCCCGTGGCTTCACTGGAATGCACCTCGACAAGGAGGTGTCGATGGGCCCAGATTACCTTCCTTATGTGTACAAAATATACATACAGACTTCCTTTTTCATACCAAGCATCTTAAACACTGGAAGAAGAAAAATGGTCTCTGGGTACTTCGCAGCCAAACCAGCGATGACAGCGGCACTTTTCTGTTGAGACGTTTCATCCGTGAAGAGCTTGGGATCTAAACCTCGTGCGTTGATGTTAATTTGGATGTGCCTTGCCTTGTACTCGGTGCATAGCTGGTGAATCAACTTGAGCATCTCCTCTTCACCCTCAAGGAGCCACGACACATACTTGCACTGATCTGTTTCATTGAAATGAAATGACAACTTTGTTCCTGGCATTGCTGCAATCATGGCATCGATCTCATGCCAGGCCGGATACGTCTCGCCATGCTCATACCGCCGTCCAGCTTCAGTCTTTGGCTCAGATCCTTCCTCATAGCCCTTTCCTCGCTTCCACGGGAACCCTTGATAGGCCAGCTGAAATCCCGCAATCGGCTCAACATGACATCCTTCTGGCGCCTGGAAGAGGTCTTTCAATTCCTCTTTTGGAAATGTAACATCAAGGCCACAAATACCAAACTCGAACTTCTTGGGAGGTCCCTTCTCTGCTAGGTGCATTGGCGCTTTCCAAGAGCACGTCTTGGACGCGATCAGGCACTAGGCAAACCAAAGGAGGCTGTGAGATATCGTGTTGATCGTTTGTTATCAGTCAAGACCTTCTTTGCTCTCGCGGTTTTGCAATTGACTTCATTTGTAGTCGCTCCCCTAGTCCACTGATTGGCGGTTGATTGACTGACAGAGTGCAGTGAACAGTGTGTTTGAGGGACATGTCATGTTTCTGTAACTTGCTGCGGACCCCAAAGCACGCAAAATCGGCGCTAGCTGGTGCTGCGCAAATCAACTTAGTGGTGTAAGCTGTTTCGGCGGCATGGATATCAACATGAATTATGAGTCGTGAGGCAGTGCACCATGTGAACCAGCGAATTCAGCAGAGTGCACGTAGTCTGCAATGGCAAAATAACCTCGCACATTCGTCAATGCAACCACCGGGGCTGGCTGAGCAGGAGTAGGTCGGCCGTGAAATACCCCAGCCTCAGAGAGTCGGCCGGCGATGAGATAAATTAATAGTAGTAGCTTCTTGTTACTACTAGTAAGGCACTTGTTACTACAGTAGTAGCGATGCACTTGTTCCTAGTAGCGAACGGCTCTGAGAGAGCATCACAAACTCCAAGGGACGTCACTGGAGTGAGTGCCCGTGCAGCCAAAGGGGGCACGCCCGCAGCTCGATTCATCAACCGCGCAGCCTATCACTGCAGGTCCCCACTTCAAGCCAACTCCACATCTTTTCATATTTATGGGACAGGCTTTGCTGGACCCAAAAGAAGTCAAACCCTCAAGGTCACCCCAAAACGATATGGAGTGACTATTTTGAGTTTCAGACTGATGATACTGTAACACAGGCTGCTTTAGTCTCGCTCAAACATCGCTGGCCTCCTTGCAGCCGATGCAGCTGTAGAGCCTGAGGTCGAGGGAAACGACCCATGTTGCAGCAGCTTTCAAACCACACTAAAGACTTCAAGCATGATCCAATAGTCCGTGCTGAGGAGCAAAGTGCCTCATACTGAGCATTCTTCCACAAACCTCTGGTCCCCGAATAATTGTGGATGCTCTACCAGGATCGACTCGCGCCAAACTTGCTTGATTGCCGCCCCATATACAAGCTGTGGAGGTAACAAATAGACAAATTTCATGTTCATGTCGCGAAAGCCTCAACGAACACCTCAACTGGCACCCCGTCGGCCGGCCCTCCATTCGAGCGCCAAGGCACTGCCGAATAACGGGGTCCTCCCACATACTCCACAGTGCCAACGGTGTGATCACGCCCTGAGACTCGGTCACACGTTTCGTAAGGATTGCGAAGGAAAAGTTGAGTCTTTATTTTTTGGAGCCACGCCAACTTCCGCCTAGGACCTTACTGGGAACCGCTCCCAAACTCAGCTTTGTCGAGGTAAGTGTGTCAAGTGGGCCGCTCTACGTGCTGCAGCACTCTGCGCAGGCCATGAAGAATAGTTTACCTTAAGCCCCAAAAATAATCAATAGTCTTGCAACAACAGTGTGGCAGGCATTTTAAGGGAAAGCTAATTATCTTCCAGTATCACTCTGGTGTCTCGCAAAAAATTGTCGCAAACCAACACCACTTGACAGGCCCGGATACACTGCTTGCAGCATGAACGCACACTGAGCCAAGTAGCATGATGTGTGAGCATCATGAGCTTCAAAGCCCAGGTTCGGCTGCTCACTCGGCAGATCTTGCTGCCTAGTGTCCACCATAGACCGGCAGCATACATGGCCTCAACTGAACATGATATTTTTCAGGGGCTTGATTTGTGTGTCTGACGATTTGGGGTTCCACCATGCTCTACCAGCAAGATAAGCGGCCCAAAGTAGCAGGAAGAAAGCCATGTAGGGCATCGCTTTGCTGTAAGTGGCCACCTCGGCAAAACAACCAAAGTCTGCGGCTCTTCCGCATTGCTCGGTTTCAACAAACGATCTGCAAACGGAATTTGGCTCAACAACGATGCCGGTGCGCTCCAGCAACACCTAATCTGCCTCACAACTCTGCGCATGACCCTGCTGCCAAAGGAGCATACATGTCCTGAATGCTGGCTTCGCCCTCAAAAACCAGGTCATGAAAGGCTAGGCTCTGCCAGTCCTCGGATCAGTCAGCCAAACTTTTCATGAAACCCGGTTGGTTGGCCCCACCTGCTATCGAAAGGGCATACTACTGTAACCTGTGTCTCACCAATCGGCAAATGATGAGAACCCACCACATAAAAAGATGGTTTAACAGGGAGCTAAATGATACCCTGTGGTTCATGGGTTGGTTCTATACCGAGCATTTGAAGGAACTATAGTAAATTGTATTTGCACTCCTCCTTTGCTCACTCCTAACACTACACCTGCAGGGCAAGTGTCCATGAGACCACAGCAGCCCAGATCAGCTGCCGCTCATGACAAATCTGACCGCCTTTTGTTGAACGCCTATCAGAGTGTGCTTGCTGAGCTGCTGAGCTGTATTTTCCTTGTGTGTATGTGTATGCGAGGGGCGAATGCAATAAGAGTGCGCTACGAGGCTAGTGATGAACTTGTATATATGTGCCTGTGCTTGTGAAATCAGTGTGTGATTCAGTGTGCATCACGTATAAATGTTCTGAAGTATCACCGCGGGAGCCTTTGCGTGTTTTAGTGTGTCAGGGTGGAGACTGAATTGCTTGAATCAGAAATGAGACCATCCATAACAAGCATCAGACCGACAGAGTGACAGAATCACGGAAACAATCAATCAGCTTTGGGCAAAGTGCTCCTTGGGTATCCGCCGATCCAGGGTCTTTATGTACTTTTGATGCTCGGTGGTAGTGGCTCGCATGGTTAAAAAGTCAAAAGTTTATGTTGAGGACGTAGGTTGAAGCGACCGGATCATGGTCAAATGTTCACAGTATCTGGGGATCCTGGCCCCTTTGCCATCAATTGCCAAGATGTTTGGCGAAGCACTTGCCTAGCTTTCTTCAAGTGAGGTCTCTAAAACTAGAATGGCTGATCCGCAGACATGCAGACGGCTGTTAGCAGAAGGATCTGCAAGAGTCTGGCAAAACAATCCACAAAACCCTTCTTGCAGTCGTGGAATCCCCTTCTCAACAATGATCATGCCAGTGAGTCCCACCTCTAAAAGCAAATCCAGCACTTTGGCATGACCTGACGAGATTCACAAGGACGGAAAATGGATTCACTATGCCCAAGATGCTTCAGGACCTTTCTGTGCTGAACCCAAGGCTCGCTTCAGACGTTTCGCCTCAGCCCCAGGCCCATCAAGCTGGCCAGGTGGACCTGAGCAAGCTTGTTTCACCTGCTTCCAAGGCAATCGATTCTATATAATTCTAATAGCTTCTTGTTTCTCATAGCTTCTTGTTCCTAGTAGTTGGCCAGGAGCCCCTAGTAGCGTCCTTAGGGCCGGAGATTGGTGTTTCGGATGCTTTTCACCGACCGAACTCTTGGTGCCCAGGCAGGCGTCTCTCCTTCTCGGCCTGTCACTTCTACCTGACGAGTTCAGATCAAAGAAGCTCATAGGGATGGTCCATTTTGCGAGCACAATTCAAGCTTCGTCAATACTTCCAGCATATCGTACACTCTGATTTTTTTTGAAGGACTTGAGCCAATGTTTTATTTCTTAATTGCTTGAAGCAGTTCAACAAAGTACAGTATCTAAACAAAAACGGGCATTTTTGACATCTCAATTTGTGTACTCGTGGGAAAGCACTTTGGCGCTCCTCCAAAAGCAGGCCTCCGCCCTCTGTTCCAACAGCAGGTGCACTAAAGCCGCATCTGGCACACAAGAAACTGCTAGGCAAGGACCGAGGGAAGCAAACAAAGCGAAGTAATCGATACCACTCATTGCAAGTAAAAGGTGGATCTAAACCATGCTCGTCCGAAGCTGGATCAACTCAAACAGCGGGCAGAAATCACTACAGCTTACAGTCCTGCAGTCTCTGCTAGCTGATCTTTGCAATACACTGTTCTTGGCAGGTACGTTCCCAATATGGTGGGGTTCATAGCTGACCTTTGCCTGTGACTCAGCCTCACAAAGTCAGGAGTGCCTGGATCCTAGGCAGGTGAAGCCGCGAGTGCCTCTCTTTTTCGTCACAGCTTGGCAGCACAGATTAGCAGCTTTGGCTCGAGCTGGAAGTGCTTTGCCTCCTGGACCTGCCTGAGCTACCAACAACTCCAGCAGAAGAAAGTACTGTCGCGAAGCAATCATGGTTTGATGCTCTGCTGTGTCTTGAAGGGTGATTTTGAGTGTTTGGTAAATAGAAATGAAACCAGAGCCAGTGGTCCGCGTCACCCCCAAACCGAAAATCAGAGCTCTGGGTCGTTACTGGTACGAGTAGCTTTGGTCAGTTTTTGCCTGTTCTGTTCATCCGAAGACAAACACAACGGTTGATCATCCCTCACAAAACCCCAAGGCATTCCTCTCTGCAAAACGCCTCGGGATGTAAAGCAACTGCACATGCGTTGGTGTTTGTCCCAGAGCTGTTTTAGGGAACTCACCTGTGGTGAATTCCTTTGTTGGCCAGCTCTGGCTCGGTTGGCATAGAAAACAAACGAACTTACTTGACATAAAAGTGTCGGGAGCATGAGTAGAACACCATAGAACAACACATTTCTTCCAAAACGAAGAAGATCCCATGATCGCTTGCCTAAGCACGGCCAAGTGGCCAAATGGCTCAAGGTGGATCAGATTCCACCAAGCGCTTCAGACGTTTGGCCTAACAACAAAAGCACCCCGGTGCCGCATCGCAACAGTATTAGTTAGTAGTTTCTTGTTACTAGCAGTAATGACCCTGTTACTAGTAGCGATGCACTTGCTACTAGTAGCGATGCACTTTGTTACTAATAGGGAGGAGGTCTGCACCAAAAACCGGGTTTGGAAAAAGAATCAAAAGGAATCAAACCCCGACCACAGAGCCACAAACCATGCATCAAACCTCCCAAAGAAAGAAGAGTTGAATTCTTCACCCATCACACAGGTCCACAATTCACGATCCATTCTTTCGAACCCAAACCATCCCACAACCTCCCATCGGTCACGGCCTTGGAGGACATCTCCCCCGGCAACTGTTGCAGCTCATGGATACCCATCTCCCCCGGAATAGGGCTCTTGTCAGCCTGATCCGCACACATCCGGAGCGACCTTGCGACTCTGCCCCAGTCTGGGAGCACCGGCGTTTTGCGGAGTCACTGCTGGAAGATCAATAGTTGTTTTCCCAGGGTGAAAAAGAAGCCTCATCCTGATGTTTTCTCGAAGAAAGGTTGGGAAGCTGTAACCTGATGCCGCAGGCGTGAACGAAAAGTAGAGGAAAGGATGACCAGCAGCCCGATGCGGAAGTAAGAGGAAAAGTGCTCGGTGGCTTTGGGTCCAGGAGCTAGCCTGACCAAGTCTTGCTTTCTTGCAAATAGCTAGCAAGAGCCAGATTTCGTGACAACAAGAAAACATGTGGAATCTCAGGTGGAATATCAGGAGACAAAGAAGGATAGTCTGATAGAGACTTGAAATTTAAAAAAGGAAGATACAGTAGAGGTACCCAAAAGCACAGATGTGATGATGTCTTGTCATTTCAGAGAGGGATCAAGAGACAAGAGTTTCCCCCACAAGACTTGACAGGCTGGAAGGTACAAGTCACTTTGTCAAAATTGCTTCCGACTTGGACTCTTTAGATAGCACTCTGCACGCTCGTAGAGAGCGTGCAAGTTGGCGCATTTCGGTCAAAGCCTCCCAAATTGCTTGAAGTTCGATCAATGATTTCCCAAGGATATCCTGGCAAAAGCAAAGTCTGGCCCAAAAACTGTCTTATTATTTTTCGAAGGTGTGGCAATGCGCAAACTGTGCAAAGACAGTGTCAGCTCTGGGCTATGAATCATGTCTAAAGCGAGATCCTTCTTAAGGTTGTGGTGATATGTTCTTCTATCATCTTCTATCTTTTTTATAAGGCTTCTCAACAACTTTTTTGTGCTCCAAGAATCAAACGCTCAGCGGCTAAAACAAACTCACAAGTCTCAAACCCTGCAGCACAATCTATATTACAATTATAGTTCTATTAGGGAGTTGTTTGGGTGGGATATATAATTCTCCAGACTGGAGGGTCATGCCCAGTCTCCTTCTGTTCCTCACAACACCAGAAAGCCCCAAGTAAAGTATCTTTCAAGTATCCTAGGTATGTATCTTTCAAGTATCCTAGGTATTACAGCATTTCCTCGATCAAGAGTATGTAAAAAACAAAAACAATTGGAGGGAAAACTCCTCAAGACTTGCCCCAGGCCCCACAGTCCGGCGACACATAGCCGCCACAGGTGGTTGAGAAGTCCCGCCCCCAGGCATCACCACCTGAGCGTGTTCGTTGGGAAGGCTGGTCTGCCCCCGTACAGCGGAGTCTTCCCAATTCCTAGTTGCAACGTCTGCCGCCCGACAAACACTGGGTAGCCCCAACAAGCACGCCACACTTCGCATGCAGTCTTTCGCAGGCGATGGCAGGTGGCAGTAGAAGCAGCCTGCTGGATGACTCAACTGGAAATGGAACTGTATACTGCATCGGGGAAATTGTCATGGACATGCTATGTCTTAGGGATTCATGTCACCCTGGTTTATTGCTTGGAGGGCGCCTATATGAGGTCATAGTGAACAGCGGTGGACCCGGTGAACATGAGCAAAATGGTGGTGCGACAATGCACTACCACACAGTGCATGGCAAGCAAGTAAGAAAACTTGCTACAGGACAAGCTGCGTCAAATTTAACAAAAGCTACCCCAGTAGCTACAGCCACCTGTGTGTGAAAGGTAGTACAAGCTGTTACACGCTATACATCCCACAGGGTTTCAAAAGCAATCCCAGCCTGGCCATTCTTCTTGAAGCAAGCGATTCGCTGCACCACGCCTACCACATTCTACGATGTCGTTTCCTCAAGCCGAAAAACGGGTTTCAGGGAACTCTCCATTCTGACCCCCAACACCCCTGCCATGTTGCAGGGGTGTAAAAAGTACCTGGTACCTGCGCCGGAGCTACCCCGACAAATACCTCATAAACGCAGTGGTTCCCTGCTACACGGTACCCTTTCGTTGCCTGCATGTTCATCCACTGTGGCAATCACATCGCCGTCTGGCACCACCACAACGACATGGCGAGCGCCTGAGCGAGCTCAGGTCTCAGGCCTCTCCATTTCAGGGATCTATGGCTGCAGAGGTACAAAAATCAATTGTGCCACATAAAACTGGAAGCATCTATGCCAAAAGCCAAAACAATCTTCTGCACAGACTTCTCAGATCCAAGGTTCTTTCAGGCACGATTTGGAAACGCCGTGCGGAGTACAGCACTCCTAGCAGAGTCAAAAAATGCCAATGGTGGCAAATCGCGGGGATGGTTCCATGATGCTCCAATGTGAAAATTGGGTTCTCGCTGCGAACATGGCCCTGCATGATGCTTTGCCGACAGGTTTGTTGCACCATTGGGATGAACTAGGGAAGAAGGGCTACATGGGAACAACATGCTACGAAGACACTTGTGAGTTCCATACTACAGCTGTACATATGTAGATAAATACATGCCCTGGAGTCACTCGCTTTTGAACCTACCAACCCTGGCCCCCTCAGTCAGCAGTAACCCTCCAAAGCCTGGAGAAGAGAAGACCAAGGCAGGCAGCTGCTGCCTTTACAAGGGTCTGATTGGGCTTCAGCAACTGATGGCACCATCGATCGTTTCAAGTCGATGACGCAACCAGTGTGCTGGTCCGAAGCTAGTAAAAGAACTTTAAACTGTGTCCAAAACAAAAACAAAGAGAATGCCCTTGTCCATCTATTGAGGGATGTTCTTTGTCCCAAGGGTAACAAACAACAGGATCCATCTTTGGAGCTCCAAAAGAGATAGGTGTGAAGCGCTGTTCTCGTTCGAATGTCTGACCCACTCTCGTGACCGGCCTCGCTGCCACGATCTGTGCGATGCAGCCGCCCAAGGAGTGACCCGTCAAAACCTGGACATCCGTCGTTCGCGTGCCTTCGCGGCCTTCGCGCCGTTCGCAGCGGAGAAGTTTGGCTTCGTCGTTCACATTCTGAACTTTGAAAAACAAGAAGCCTCGAACCCCAGGGGCCTTGGAGGTGTCCTTCTCACCATCTGAGCATATCTGAGCGACCTAACTTATTTAGTGACCTAGCAACCTCATCACCCACGTTCTTAGATCAAGAGGCCGTAGCATCGGACCTATCCTTCTCACTGGCAATGATCGCATCCTCGCAGTCCAAACACATATTTCAGATTGATTCTCAGAGAGCACATTTGCCTGGTTGACAAAACGTGACAGGATTCAAGAAGTTTGACATAGCAACGACACTCTTCCTCCAAGCTTTTCCAAACATGCGCATCAGCGTTGCCTGACCACACGGGCAGTGATCTCACAACCGGACCAGGATGTACAGAGCACAAAGTTCCCTGGAACATGTTGAAATCTCAATAAAGATAAGTGTCAATTGTCAATCGTACAGTTTGTTTGGGGACGGAGATGGGGGAGCTCACCTAAGAGGTACAGTAAGTCACAGAAAACAGAAATCTCATGTCCAAATGGAGATCAACTCATTCTGACGCTGAAACCCCCACCGCCGCCTGTGTATCCTACAATGCCTTGCACTAAGGCGACGGGCAAAAGCGACAAGATTGGCACGATCTTGGACAGGGCCTGCAGCACCTGCCGAAGCGTTCCCTCCCAAAGGACGGTCTTTCGGTTGGAAGAGTTTGCTGCAGGGATCCAGGAACCTCCAGAGTCAATCCACTTGGTTCGACTCGAGTCGCGCGTCGTCCGAGCAACTCAGTTTGAACGCAATGTGTAGCTACCACTGTTCAATCTGTTTTCAGCGATGATCCACCACTAAGAACTGCGCTACAGTTTTTTCGCAGCTGCAAAGAGCCAATGAAATTATGTTGGATACTCAACACTCATGTTGGTTGTATAGTGTTTCTCCACCAATGGGTGTGTCTCAGTGCAACCCAAGGAGGGTTGCAAGGAACACTCGAGCTGAGTGCAGCCTCGATGGTGGCAAAGAGCTTAATGTCTGCATAGACATCACGCCACGAGGAGGTGCCCTTCAATGCAAAGACCCGCGTGCCACCTGAATCTAATTTTCATAAGTGAAGGAAAGGGCCCATGCAGTCCTGCAACCATGTTGATCACATTTTGATAGGCCATGAATGAAACTGGGAATCTGCAAAGGCGTTTGGTTCAAATCCTAGCAGCTAGCAGGGCAGGGCTACAGAGGCAGGGCCGGATGGCTTTTGACGGTGGATCTCGCTACTTCGGATATCCTGACACCAAGCCACATCCTATACCATGTGTAGGTGAGAAGCGCACAGCCACCCAGCGAGGCAACTCACTGTAGCTGCTGCAATGCTCCAACCTCCAGGAAGGGCTTTCTCTACAAGGATTGAATGCAAATCCTTTTTTAAGAGCGAAATCGATGCATGATGATCAGCCCATGCAGTTGAGAGCTGCAGGAGCATTGATGTGCTGGACAGTTTGAGCTATGGGTGTTGAGCTGGATGACGAGACAAAGCTAGAGTAAGGAAAATCTCTGTGATGCAAACAGTACTGAGCATCCACACAATGCAAATGAGATTGTCCAGTATGACGTCACTATGAGTGTTCCTTGCCTTGGGGATCGCTTGCCAAAGCTCTCCTGGCACCACAATGACTGCCAAAGTGACATTCGCTTTTGCAAAGAGAGCAGTAATGGACGAAGCATAGAGCAGATTAGAGCGGATTAGAGCAGTGCATATTCGTCTCCTAAGTCTTGAGCATCCAACAGAAGCACTGCTGCGCCTTGAGCAATCGATCCATCTCGTCGCAGTTTTCCTCGTAGGCGATAAGGGCCAAGGCCGCCATGTCCTCGCAGGTTTGACCAACGATCGTCGCTACTGCTTTTCTGTTTAAGTGGCTGAAAGTGGCAGGTTCGAAAGACCCCACACTGATCATGTCCAATCACATGATTCTTGCGAGGTTCTGGAGGCACTCAGCAACATCGTCTAAGAGGCTTTGGAGGCGCATTCATAGTCTATGCGAAGTCGAGTGAATTAAAATGACCCACTATAGATACTTTTATGATAGATAAAAAACATCTTGGTGGTCAAATTGTTGGTGGCAAGGCTTGTTTGGCCTCGTTTTTGGTGGCAAACCGCCGTGTTCCCGCGGTCCAGCTGCGAGAGCTGAGCGTCACGCGAGCCCCAGGTGATGTGGCAGGCAGCATAGGGCGGCATGTCATTCCTCGCGCGATTGTGTCGCTGTGGGCGTTTGATGTTAAAATGCTTTGGTTGATGATCGTCGATGCGTTCCCACCATCAACGGCCAAGGCGCAAATCAAAGCGCGATGACTTTGGAATGCTTGATTGATCGGTATAACCTGCGTCACTTCTATACCCTCCCAGTGATCCAATTCACAAAGCCTTTCTCTGCTGATCCAAGCATGGGCTCTTGAGAGTGGCAACTCATTCTCTGGCCCCCCGACAGTCCCGCGCCACAGAGGCAGCAAGGGTTCATCGCCTGAATTCATCCGCTGGAGACTTTCTGTGAGTCTCTTTGGTTCTGAAGATCGTCAGAGTCGAACTCAAGGAATTCCTGACATGCTCTACTCCAATCACTCCAGCTTCAAGGCTCCCGGAATAAAACACAAAAGGTGTATGCCATAGGGGACCGGACCTGGGCGAGAATTCATCAAAGGCTCCACTGCAGCCTTGGGAGCCAGTGAGAAGGCTCCACCAACCTGAAGCTGCAGGGCCCAAGAAAAGACAATAAAGGGAAACCAGGTGGGGGTGCAAGCAAGGAAGCTATCAAGATGCTATAAGTCGTAGTAAAAGTAGTAAGGAGCAAGGACGCATAAGAGTTCGCTGTATGGCACGGCTCTGAGACTTTCAAGGAAGGAGCAAACTGTTCATCGTACAATCTCCTACGAACCTAAGACCTTGTCTTGGCGTCTTGACTCCATGCAAACTCCCGGCCTGCAATCCCAAAGCTGCAGAGACGAAGAAAATGAGAATCACGGTGTAAAAGGGTCCTGGCACTAGCCATGCTGGGTTCCCGGTATGGGTCCGAGGTGTATTTCAATACAGATTTTAGTTTACCCTCCTTTTTCTGGCGGGGTTTTAAGAGGTCTGCCTAGTTCTTGCACACCCATCTACTTTCACAAACACAGAAGCCCATCGGTGGCCTGCAATGTCTGGAAAAGTCCAGGCCATCTTCAAGGACATCGTAGCCACCGTGATCACCATCCTTAGATCTGGTGACACTCAGCTACTCCACTCGGTGCAAGGTAGTTTTGGTCCCAGGGCCTTCCTAGGGCCTGGAGAGAAGTGACATTGCAAACTTCTCAAACCAATAAAATCAATGCAAACATTGCACAGCGAAGCAGCTCTAGCAGATTTGTACCAAGGTTGCGTTGTTCCGATCAAGTCCCAAGAAGGCTCCATTCTGAAGCTTTGATCATAAGAAACTCTAATTAGACGGTTTCAAGTGGCTTAAGGAGACACGGCTGATCTAGCACTTGCCAAGCCTAAGGCTCTAAGGACTCAAGGAAATGACCACATGCTCGGATCCCGTGGACGGAGTTAGCTAGAAACGAGAGAATGAAAGGCAAGCTTCATGATGGCACTGATGCACACTGGAAAATCGATCACTTCCTGCAGTGAAAGGGCGGGAAGCAAATGAAAAATCAACAAGTCGTTCTGCCACACTTTTTTTACAGATGCAAGTCCCCAGACTGCTAAATTAAGCAGCAGACCTCGGGAAATATGTTTGAAAAACGTCAGCCGTCAGTCGTGAAAGAAAAGTCAACAAAGCATATGTCCAGCAAATGTTGCTGCACTTGTGCAGTGAACAGGGCCACCAATCTCTGTCTGCACATCAACTCTATTGCAGTTGAAATTCTTGAAACGTATTCTAGAGTCTAGAGCCACTCCAAATCTCCGGAAGGACCAAAATCTATGCAACTCCTGCATGGCCAGGGCGGAGATCACGGTCCACGCCCCCAGCACTGAAGGAATTTGCCAAATTCCCGACATCGCTGCTCGGCTCGAGGCCCAACTGTCCGACCTCCACAGGCCAGAGCCCGTTGTGAAAGACATCAGCTCGTTTGCAGTGAGGTCACGGGTCACGGGTCACGGCAAAAGTTGTTCTGTTGGAGAGTTGCGATGTCAGGAAGACTTGAAAAGAAGTTGGGTGAGTCGTCAAGGGCTCCGCGTCTCACACACACACACCCACACACACAACACACAAGGCACACAAGACACAGGTCAATACTCAACCCAAACTGCGTTGCACGTCCATGCTCTCGAACCAAAACATCAAAGAAAGAAAACCAAGCAGCTTGGCGCTTGATGCTCTTCGATGTATGAAGTGCGATGAAGTGCCATCATACTTGTGAAATAGAAAGAAGAAAGAATACACCATACATGCGGCAATGGCCTTCTACTGCAGTTCCTACCACATGGCGGCTTTAGATGCCAAATCAACAGCCACAACAAGAACTGAGTTTGGGACACCACGGAAGCCAGGCTCTTCCAGGACCGGTGGATCAAGGTGGCAAAGCCTTCAATGGCATGCACTGGCTGGCATGTTGAATCTGGCGGTGTTGTCCCATGTTGCCACTGGCTTTTTCTCTGGCGAGTCACACAACCAGCTTGTTCGGCAGCCAGCTTTTTGGGTTTCCAACCAATTCTCAAGGATCTTCCGAGCTTTCCCCGCAACGGCCCTGAAAACGCTTCTGCGACCAGCTTGGGTTTCCGTACGCTGGCAACTTCTCTCACTGGACTCTTCACTTGAGACTTGCTCAAAGTGTGCCCGAAAGGTGTCCTGAGAGCTTCAGCGTGGGGCGAACACTTGGACACTTGTGGGGAAGGGTGCCTGTCTGATCTATTCAGAAGCCATTCTCGTGCTGAAGGTTGATGGTCGAAGTGGCGGTTTAGGTTCAATTCCGGTCCGTTCGTACATCATTCCTGATGTCTGCCTTAGTGAAGAAATGCCAGAGTCCTCATCAAAGCCTACAGATACTCAGCCACAAGAAAATTTTGCAATACCGGGTCACATACCGGACGGACAGGATCCCCGGGAAGATCTTGTGCTTGTCCAGCACATGGTAGATATGTCGCAGTGCCTGGTTTTCAGCTGCCCCCCCTAGAACATGGCAGTGGTCAAAGGTATGTGTTTAAAGACTGGCCACCAAGAGCCTGCTCCAACGTGGTCCAGGCCACCCTTAGGCCTTACAGCTCTTGGAGCCAAACTGGAGGATAAGTTTGACCCTCTGCGTGCCTGTTGCGCTTGCAACCCATGGATAGCAATGGCCAAGTCTGCCAGGAGAACTGCAACAGTCAGTAGAAAGGCAGCGACCAGCCCGCCTCGCAAAGTCATATTCAGCGTTTGAAGGGGACAGGTTCCTGGCGAAAACAAGGTGAGCCCGCGGACCCAAAAACAAAAAGAAGCGCGCAACCCAGGAATTTTTCAAACAAACACACATTAGCAGGCCAAAACGAAGCATCAGCCCCCTCCAGGCTTCGACCATGATATTTCAAGCATCGCGGTTCTGGTGCGCATCCGTCCACCCCCGTCTGCCATATACACCCCTTGGTCATTATTGAAAGCCCTCCAAAACGGTCATAAAACGATTGCAACATGGCTTCTAACAACCCTTCCAGGAAGCGTGGAGCAGCATCAGCTCCCTCCATGCTTCGCTCCAACCATGAAATTTGAGGCATTGCGGTTCTGGCATGCAACCATCCTGCCGTTTCTGCAATGACTTGGGCTGTCTTCGGCATACATTGCACACATTCTGGACACCCAAGACCGTCATATAGGCCGCGCCAGACAGTTTCACTCGCGCAATAACGTTCTTCCGCGAGGCATGGAGTAGCATTAGCCCCCCATGCTTCGTTCTACTTAGCATCCATCTTCCTTCCACAGACCCGTCCACGCCCGCCCACCCTCCCATCTCCATCCAAAGCCCCGTCCACACCCATCTTCCGTCCACGAAAATGCTTGCCTCGTCTCGCTCTGCCCCCCCACTAACGACTAAACTAAACGAGAACCCAAGCATCGGAGATTCTTTTGGGAAAAGCACGCACATGTGTATTGCTGCGCCAGCGCTACAATGCATCACACGCGGTAAAATGCTTTCAGGTCATTCGTCGTCTAGTGTGAATTTCTCTGCATAGATTTCCCGTGGCGTGCATCGTTGGCATGATCAGGGCGTCGATATGGCGGAGATATCCCAGGAGGAGAGGATTTGTCGTTTGTTTTTCTCGAACAAACCTTTGCGGGCTTCGATCTTAAGAATTTACACCGGCCTAGACCCTAGATAGACATATCGTTGCAGTAAGAAGAAAGCAAGACAGTTCCCTTTTAAGTCGGGTTGGAGGTTGGATGTACTATATATATACACACATATATATATATATATATCAAGTGGCTGTTTTCAATCTCTGCAGCTAGTCTCCAACCCCATTGCAACATGGCTTCTGACAACCGTTCCAGGAAGCATGGAGCAGCATCAGCCCCCTCCATGCTTCGTTCCAACCATCAAATTTCAAGCATTGCGATTCTGGCATGCAACAATCCTGCCGTTCCGGCCATGACTTGACTGTCTGGCGCGTGCATTGTGCACATTTTAGCCCTGCAACACAGCTCCCTTCGCGTCAGAACGTGCTTCCGCGAAGCATGAAGGGTGCACCCATGTCCTCGTAACTAGCATATCAGCCGCGCAAGATCGCTCCACTCGCACAACGGCGCTCTGCCGCGAAGCATGGAGCAGCGTTGGCCCCCTCCATGCTTCGTTCCACTTAGCACCTTCCCTCCACAGCCCCGTCCACACCCATGCACCTCCCGTCTCGCGCCCCTCACTCTTCCTTCCACAGCTCCGTCCACCCATGCACCTCCCGTCTCACCTTCGTCCACACCCACGCGCCTCCCCCTCCCTGTTCCATCCACAGCCCCGTCCACACCCACGCACCCCTCCCGTTCCATCCACAGCCCCGTTCACACCCACGCACCTCCCGTATTGCGCCCCTCTGTTCCATCCACAGCCCCGTCCACACCCATCTTCCGTCCACGACAACGCTTGCTTTGTCTCGCTCTTCCGCGGCACTAGCGACTAAACGAGAACTCAAGCATCGGAGATGCTTTTGGGAAAAAAGAACAGGTTGCTGGTGAGGTCCTGCAACTTCATGGCTTTTCAGGGGTCAAGCACGGTCGTCTGAAACGGTCAAGAGGAAAGGAACTTCTGAAATGGGTCCATCTGGCTTTGCAACAATGAATTTGGTGACACTGCAACTCAGCACATCTCATATAGATCCAAAACGATTTAGCTTGGTCTTGTCGACAGCATCCCACAAGCTGTGGTCGTCGCCTTGCATGTAGCCATGCCAGAATCCTTTGCGCAACAAGAAACCCCTCAAAGCGAAGGTCAACGGGACCAACTCTGACAAGACCACCAGCAGCAAATCAACCTTGAACGGATCAGTCCATGAAGCAAGCTGGAAAACGCGTGAAAAAGCATGACAAATGTCATCCTCAGGTAGATGAATACATCTTTTAAAAGGGAATAGGCTAATTCCTGCAGTCAACGTGTTTTTTGACATGTTTCATGATGTTTCCAGTTCAATCTACGAATGACAAGACAACTCAAGAAACGGTTTCTTCCAACTCGATGGATCCAATTGCAAGATTTCCAAGGCACCATCTCACAGCTACTGCGCGCAGGTGCTAATCGCCGGTCGCGTTGCAAAGCAGCCAACAGGAGCGCGAGGCACCTAGACCGGACTCATCGGCGTGCGGCGCTGCGTGCGCGTTAGCTCTCGGGAGCCTGGCTACAGGCTACACCAAGACGTTCATTTTAGAAGATCTCCGACATATCACGACGACACGATATACCCGGGTTGAGTGAGGCAAAAGCACCGCTCTTCGTGCAAAAATCTCAAACAAGAAGATGGCCTATCAAACTGCCCAACGAAAGTGTGGAGAGTCATGGCACGAGTCATGGCACTGAAAACCTCTGAATACCAAGTGGTGAAAACCCTTTCACAGAAAACCTCTCCTCGGTCCAACCCTCAGTCCGACTGATATGGCAAGATGCCACAGGAGTGGCGGACGATCTATTGCGTCGATGACCTGAGTTGCATGACAACTCGCTAAAGCTCAGGAAAGCTATTCTAGTGGGTACTGGAAACATGTTCCCCAGCTACACCGCAGGTCAAGTGGCGCAAAATCTTGCCGAGAAAACCCCAAAAACGGTGCTTTTCATCTTGCGAACTCTTCGACTATGTGGGGTAGTAAGAAGAATTTGGTATGTACCAAAGAACCGCATAATTGCAAAAAAATGTTTTCCACATAGATATTCCCGGAACCGGTTTAAGCAACGTTTCAAAAGAAACCCAAAAGACGTGAATTATGGCGAACGAAAGGCATCTCATTTAGCTGTTGGCCCATAGTCGAAAGAAGGCACTTTTTGACTCGTTGGTAGAGAATATGTCTCTTGCTAAATGGAATATCCGGCGGAAAAACACAGGCGATCGGTGCTTTATCAAGAACTGGACAAAGTGGTCAACGTCGTTTTAGAGGATAGGGTTGATTCGGCTGCGATGCGTAATCTGCAGGTCTGCAGAAGACTTTATCGCATCATAATTTTGCCGGAGTTGAGGTGGCGAGACAATTCCACCAATAAGACTTCTGTGAAACCTAAGGCGAACAAAGGGCGTGGCACCCAAATCTTTGTATCTGGAATGTATACAGTTGAAGCTGGGTGGTATTCTAGGACCACACGAAATGTGCAATGTTGCACCTGCAGGACAGGCTTGGGCAATACATATATATATATATTTGGATGTAGCGAAAAATGAAAATACCAATGCGGGTCGTGGATCTGCCAGTTGATCAATAAGTTCTGAAAAGTTGCGAACGATCAAAGTCAAAAGTTGCTTTTCACCCCCCAAAACAGCGACTTTGTCCGGGAGGCGAGGTCGCTCATCTCGTCACCCACCAAAGCCAAAAGCATTGCACCAAAAGGCAACAACCAAAAGCTGAGCCAAACCTGCCCAGAATGCATGAAAGATGAGCTATCTTGTGGCACGAATCTTTTATGCTGCTCCCCTGAGAAACCTGTCTAATTGTCCATATAATTACTCATGACTCATTGTAGGTTTGTATGATTATACAAACCTGCGAGACCATTCAACAGGGTGGAAAAATCACTCAAAATAGAGGGTGATGGCCTGAAAGTCCAACTTGTCCCCATCAGCAAACCTGAGTGTAAATTACATGTTCAGTGACTATTCGGGATAAAGAGAAGCAAATCAACTCAAACGCTTGTCTCGTTCTTCATAGCCCATTCTGGACATGCCAGCAGACACAGCAAAGAAGAGCTCCGTGATGGTGCCCGCAAAGAGTGCCAGTGCAGTGAACAATGCACACCTCAAAGCCGGGGCCGCAGCCGGCCACAGCCATCAGCATGGTTAGTGGGTGGGGGTCCCGGTGGGGATGTTCAAGCTCTTTCCACTGAGCCCAGTACAATAAGAAGTACGACCAGCGTATTCTCAAAGAGCACATGTACACCTTGCACTGCACTCTGCACTCTCTGAAGCCACAGCTTTCTTGTTTCATGCAAAAAGACAACCCGCAACTCATCTTCTACCATGTGACGGCCAGGAATGGCATATCATCCAACGGGTCAACTTCGAAGGGAAAGAGCCTTCGAATCTCCTGCCATGGCGTCGCGGCGTCACTGAATCGGCTAAAGAAATCATACAAAAACACATGAACCAACCCATCGGTGCCATGTCGCTTCCTCAAGAACCCGACTCACCATCGTCCCGACTCACCGGAACCCGGAACCGCCTTCACCGCGGCTAAGACCTGTGCCGGCTGGTCGGCATCACCGATGATGTTGAGGGCCATGGTGATGCGTTGGTGGAAGAGGGCCACACCTGCCGTTCTGGGCATCGCGGCATTGGTAAGAGGTCCGAGAACGTGTCCTGGAGAGCTTCCCAGTCAAAACCCTTCAATGATTTGCTGGCTTACAACCACTACAAATCCAACATGATCGAACCATCATCAACAGTGTACTTTCATTTCTCCTCTTGCAAAGCGACCCGAACGGTCGAGTCATCTTCAGCGATGGTCCTTCTTTGTCCTTGAAAGAAGATGTTTGATCTGGCATTGTCTGTTCAAAGCCATTCAGTCGGACATGTACCATTGCCTATCGCGAGAAAAAAATGAAAGAATGTATTGGTACTTGTTGAAGAATTTCAAAGAGGAGCTGCAGGCAAGGCCTGTGGCCAAGCGTTTATATTCGAAGCAAATCTAAGTTTGTTGCTCTCAATCGGGATAGACCATGTCAATGTCAATGTCACGTCCAACTACAATGCCCTCAACATGAAGCGATGCTAGTGCATGATAACCAGTCACGGCAATGCCAGGCCTTCTTGGTTGGGATGCTCCTTTACGTAGCCGAGGGAGTCATTCAAAAGACCTTGATTAAACAACAGTGAAGAGCTGCGCATGGAACAACAAACAGAGGGTAGCTTGTGGACCGGCCTTCCTTGGGAATGTTGCGCCAATGGAGATAGGATTTACTTGCCACCACTGGTGGACAGTGTGGTCCCGTCAGTGGATTGCAGGAATCAACCCGAATTTGATCTCAGATTCGCACGGCCCAAAAAAAGACTCTAGAAAGAAAGGGTCACTCTAGCATGTACACATGCATACTCAGGTACTCAGGTACTCGCCAAGCTGCTCATGAACCTGCCACGCATCTGCAGAACCATCTTCGCCTTTGGGGTCATATCCCTGGGATGGAATCTGGTCGACCTGTCAGAGGCAGACAAACACAAAGATGACTCGCTTGCTCTTCCACTGGGAGAGAAACATAAAGAATGTCCAATGCACATCTTGTTTTGCTTTGGCCGGAAAGCTCTCGCATATGATATAACATATGCTCTAGACTAGACCATTGATATTCGATAGGCTTGGATTAACCGTCAATTTGGCGGCATGGCTTGCCTTGGGGAGTATGCTAAATCGCAACTGCGGTTCCTGTGTTTCTTCAAGTCTCCTCATTCTTCTCCCTCAACTGACTCTATGTTTAGGGACAGCTCTGGTTCCCTTCAAGTTGAAATTGTTCCCTCCCAACATGTGTACTCTTCCTGTATCGAACATGACCATCTTCAACGCTAGTGGCTTCCCCTGGCCTTGCGAGAAGGGGAGCTTCCAACGTGGGCACCTTGGTAACGGTACCCCGGTCCATTGCTATTAGGTTGGAGGCCATCGCTATTAGGTTGGAGCACGCACACAAAAAATGCCAATGCCCTCCCCGGTCGGGTGTTGATCGACGTCCGCGTCACACTGTCCGATGTTGGGCCGAAACATTTCGGTCTCGAGTGAAAGAGCCGAGAGTGGTGCGAGGTTCTAGAAGAACATGATGTAGAATCTACATAATGTAGAATCTGTGATTTAGTGAAACCCCCCATATACAGAAACTTTACACAGGAGACAACATCTCCTTTCGTGACCTGTCTTTTTGGCTGCGTTGGATGTTTGTCTACATTGACATAATTGAGTCTCACCATATGTTTCCTGGTCGGACTTGCTTTCAAACGCACAAGTCGGAAGGTCGTACCTTTCCGCAGGGAGCTATACTTGGTGCTGTTCCTTTCTTTACCTCTGGGGAGTTTACCGATTTGGCTCGGATGATGGATGCTGGCTGTTCAAAGAATATTTTGTCATGGGAGATCCCACTGCACTCTCCCTCTTGAGTTTGTGTTTACGTGTGTGGTCGTGGTTTTGGTTCTTTCCTTTTCACAATGTACAAAATGCGCTGTCTGACCATGAGTGTCAGCAGTGCTGTGGACCTCCGTCCTAACAGGGGACTTTCGTTCAGGACGGGCTGCGCTGGTGGTGATACAAAGGCTTTACAATCCAAAATGGGAAGGGTTATATAAAGTTATATATCAATCAAGATTCTACATTGCTAGTGTTCATGACTATGGAAAACTCGTGCACCATTGGAACCACCCGGGTCTTCACAGCTTCGCTTTGGACCGGTCTCACTTGCCAAGGCACGGAGTCTTCCTCGCGCTCCAGACCCAAGAAGCGCAGCAGCGAGTAGCCTCGCTGCCTCCTGGAGTGTCATAATCCCAGTCGGACGAGAAGAGGGACAAACGGACACCGAAGACCGCAAAAACAAAAAAAACTGAAACTTTGCATCAATGACTTTTGCCAAGAAACAACCGCACTTGGTGCGCTGCAGTTTCCAAATCATCCAGTGCCTGGATCGCCCCACGGAGATACGAGCTCGGCAGACTGCAAAACGGTCGTTGAAGAAAGAGCTTCCGAGCCAGTGCGAACCAAATTAGAGTGACTAGAGTTTGTTCCAACGGTGTTTTTTCTCATTTCCGGTTCAGTGGGTCAAGAACTTGGAGCAACACAAACATCTGGGGATACGATCTGGGGGATCGCCAACTCCGGCGCTGTTCAGGACCTTTGTCAGGTCCTCTGGACGAACTTATCTTCGCCTGGCCTTTACCAGGTCTTCGGCTAAGCTGTCCAGGAGGGAGATGTTCTTTGCAAACGCTGCAATCTCCAGGTGTGCATGAGCCAGCTTCCTGAGCTGTACAGGCTCGAGTCAGTCGGCATGAAGTTGTATGAGTCACACAGGGCAAGTAGAACAAAGCGCAGGCGACTTTTCAC